ATATTCATAATTGGACCCTATAGGTCCAACCCGGGGAGGTGCTCAAAAGGGGATTTTGATATTTACGATGGAAATTTTTGTTTATAAATGGTTGCTATTGGTTATAGGAGAAATAATTAGTAGAAAACAGTATTTATTATTTTATTGGTTGCCATTGCAGGTTAATCGGGATTCGCAGATCAGATACAAGCATTCATCAAATCGAGTTTTTACACATTGCCTTCTTGATATTATGGTGTCGCACATTGTCCGCGTTCCTATGTAGTCGTCGGATTGCCTACCGGGGATGCTGAGTTGCACCCAAAAAGAGTTGAATAATCACAATTTTTTTTAAAAGTTGTAATTTTGTACAAGCGACGAGTGCTTGAGACCAGCTAGTTATAAATAAATATAACATTAAAAAAAAAAAAAAAATTGAAAATCGCAATAATGCCTACACATTTGTATCATAGGTATAAATAGATACTTATAATAATAAATAAAAGATAATATCGACTCTAAAGTTTAACTAATAAAAAGAAAGATATGGTAAACACTTTAAAAATATAATATTTTCTCAAAATAATAAACACGTTTGTCAATCGAATAAAGATAAATTTCAATTATTTATGAACAAATATATTGTATCTATTATAGGTACTGACGCATCCATCATATATATTATTATAGTATATTTTTTGTGTAATAACTGGAATGTATATACATAATTATAATAATACTATTAAAGCAGGTAAGCATAAAATTATAAATTTGATTCTACATACGACATAATTAAAACTAGCAAAGACTTAAAAACTATATTATGTAATTTCCTTAATTTTTTAACTTCTAATTTATAACCCGTAACTTTGACTCTTAATTACAAATTAAGGATTTCTCAAAAGTTTATTCATTGCGTAACTCAAGTAGTTTATTTATTGTACTCGCTTTGAGAAACATTCCAATTTAAATTTTTGTTTTACTCTGTTTGAATGGACTGGAAAAACTTTTTTCGTCCACGAGGAAAGTTTCTGAAATGCTACAGTGATATTGTTTTCAAAAATAAAAGATTTGAATGTTCCTCAGGGGTCACATTTTGTGGCTCTTTCAATCTACCTAGTTTGGAACTTTGGATTATATCAAACAAATTTTGATAAATACATTATAGCGGGAAATTTTAATAGTATTGTATGGATGATAGTCTATTATTGTGGCGTATGATCAGACATTTCATATAGGTATACAATATAGGTACATATTAATATATTATAAAAAACTATTATAAATGCATACCTACATTTTAAAATAAATAGGTAATCATCATAGACAAATATTGAATTAAAATGATAACTATAACACGATTAGCATTTGGATCACAACTCGTTGCTTCGAATTATAATTATATTATAACTTATAAGTGAATAAGTGATCGATTCCATAATAAACAGTATGTAGATATAGTAAGTATACTTAGGTACTTATAGTATACCTATATAGTATACTTACTATACTTATAACTAGGTACGGACTGATTTAACAAGCATATACTCAGCCCGTTTTTTTAACCTATGACCCTATACAGTGGTTTTAAGTAAGTTATACATAATATGATGATAAAACAATAAAATAAAAATAATATTATATTATAACATTTGTTTTATGTGAAATCCTGTTCATTTTTTAATTCGATTTCTAAAGGTACGATTCAATTATCACTTGAGTGTATTTTATCGATTACCTACCTACATTCCATTTTAATTGAGCAAGAAAGCATTATAAAAAGAGTATGCATATAGGTATATGCCGTTGAAACTTAAACAATATTAACATTATTCCTTTAATATATCCAAAAATTATAGAAGTCTATATCAAATAATATTATATCGTTAGCAATTATATCCAACAATATCCAACTGCAATGATTTATCAAAATATAGGACACCCAATACATTAAGCACTTCCGTCTTCCTGTGAGGTTAATATCAATATTAAGCATATTTTCGCCAAATTCCACACACATGGGTTAGGTACCTAAGGAAGAGAAAATTCTAATGTTCCAGAATCACTCAAGCAGGGCCCTACAGACCTTATCTCAGCCACCATCAAATGCATCGTTGTCGCCAATATACTCAACCAGATTTAATACATTTTCTATTATAACCATTTATATAGGTAAGCTCTTATATATTTATCATTTATGCCTTTTTTTGTACCTAATCTATTATTTATACAATCATATAATATAATAATATGTAAATCCATCCCAGTTTCCAATGTTCCAATTCTCCAAAAGGAATATTCTAAAATCATAGGTATATCTACCTAATATAAAATATTATAGTAATACCTACGCTACAGCCTACAATAATGTGTATGTATTTTTGTGACTGTTGAATTTCATTTCTTCACGATGTAACTCGAGTCAATGTTCATAGTTAGGTATCAGCGAACGAGGGTGTATTGAACTGCGCCGCAAAGTGTGAAAAAAAATGTAGGTTTTTTTTTGTCACTCGTCGATACTCAATAATATTTACCGATAAGTTGTGAAAAACCCCAAATGACAAAAAAAAAATATATTCGGTTTCTCTGCATATTATACAGTAAGACCATATCGTATTTTTTTTTTTCGTTTATTCGCAGCCATATTGCCGTCTCGGCGGTTAATTTTCACGGACAAATCCATTTTCTTTTTTTTCTCTTATTTTTATTATTATTTCGTGTATTTCCACAATTCCACGGCGTGTGCCCTCGCGCTCGTTGTAGAAGTTCAACGCATCCTGTCCCCCCCACCCCCTTCACCGACAATAGAGTTCAACGACCAATTCTCCACCGCCTGCTCCTGTATAATATTATAAAATATAGTGTCCGCGCAATGGCCTCCACCTTCGTCGAGTACATACATACACTATAATGAAGCAAACTAAATACTGTACACAGTGGTTGAATACCCTTTCCGATAAGAGGCGGCGATAATAATAATCATTATATTATATACCTACACATATATAGGTAGTCTCACTGTCTTTCCAAGTACGTATATTATATTATAATAGCTACAGTATATAGCTGTATATTGTACGAGGTGGATACCTAGGTGGCTATAGGTATATATTACAGGCATAAACTGGAAATTAAAAAATAATAATCGACGTGACGCCTTCCGCAGAGCGAACCTTATTGGACGGTCGCCAGGCCCGTGGGGGGGATGTAATCCGGCCCCCTAGACCCCCTCCTAGGTGGACCGGTCCTCTTGCTAGCCCGCACTGCTACCACTTCCAAATAAATCATTACACCAATTGAACCGGCAAACGCGTTGTCCGCCGCCGGATAGGGAAATCTCGACGACTAGCACCGTGTACCCATGTCTTATAATATATAGGTATATATTTATATACGTAGGTGCCCGATTCAAGAAAATGTATTATATTATTTTAATAGTAACAATATTACGTATACCTGAATACATAATATAACTTAATCTTGTATCAGATTTTATGATCGACGCCTAACGCCTTTATAATATATAACAATATTATTGTAGTATGATCGACACTGAATTTTTATTTTTACGTGATAATGTTTGAAAATGTATATTATGTAAAATTGTAAAATATATGTTATACTATAGCTGAACTCGTGCACTTCGTTGCCCGTAAAAAATACCAACTCTTAAAAAAATTATGTTCGAATAATAGTATTAATACAATTTTTTTTCAATTGTAGTTTATGAATAAAGATATTTTTGTATATATATATACTATCGAAAACAAACGTATTAAAAGTAAGCACTTAAGTAATGATTATATTATTGTATAAACTACTAAATGCAATGCTGCTTAATATTAAAAACTGAATATATGGGTAGCTGCATAATAATATAATATATGATTATATAAATAATAAATATATTCGTTCTAACAAATATCATAAAAAATCACGCATGATGATTGGTTGACAAAGAGTCTTATATTGAAAAGCTTTTGAGTTCTAATAATAGACACTTGAAACTCGGTGTAAATAAGAGACGAGACTGCAGGGAGTAATCCGTAGTAATAATAAATATACAATATACCTAAATATGCTTAACGAATTACAAAACGATGCCACGTATAAATAGCGCGTATCTCACTCGCGAAGCGATAAATCAGCAAATAGGTGTTTTAGGAGGCTATGCAATTTTTACACTCTGTAATATAATTTTGTATTATATTATTATAGATATTTTAAAAATGCTTTGAATTACAGAACACGATAGTAGGTACATGCCTATATATTGAATAAAAAAATAATTAATATATTACATGATACTTACAAGCTGCACATATAATGTATTATACATACATTGTATATATACCTAAGTAATATAATATGTAGATATAATATTATATAATATTATATAATGTAGGTACCTACCTATAATAAGATAATATATTTATATACAATTAGTGTTTGAAGTATGAAATATTTCACAAAAAAGTGAAATATTGAAATTTTTTTTAACAAAAATAAAAACCCAATTTATTTATTTTTTTAACACAATGAGTTCCTAACTTGTTTAATTTCTTGGCATAATTTTTATTTTTAAATTTGAATTTGACATTTAATGATAATTAATAAACTAGTACAATATATTAAATTATTTCCGAGACAAAAGTTTTAAAAATATCGTTGCTATGAATAAGTATATATACTATATACCAGTTTGGAACATAAATTATTTGTTTGCGAGTTACGCAGTTCATTATTTCTTTATTGTTACAACGAACCTTTACGAATATTCATTACGTATTATTCTAAAAGTTATTCTTTTCTGATAAAATAAAAATCTAATGAGATATAGACAGATAATGACTGATATCGCTGCTGTACAGAACAATATTATGACGCGTTTGAAGTTGAGAACCGATCACCATCCGCCGAGTTAAAGCAAAGAGTTTTGAGATGAGAAAAGGGTCAACTGTCGAGATCACATTAGCAGGTATCTGGGTCATGAACCGGCGTTCAGGATATTATGCAGCTCGATGCCGAACGTCGGGGTGCAGACTGCTCCTGCGGACGATGCGTTCCATGTAGAACTTCCGTCTGCCGCCACGACCTACTCACCGCCCGCAGCCGACGACTCGGCGCAAATGGGTTCGGCAGACCCTTCAAATGGTTCAGCCGAAATGTTCGTGGACAACAGCTGCTGTGCAGGTCTGAAATTCCTATGCTACATATCGCTGGTCAACATGGCAAGGATGAGTTCCAGCCGAGCTCAAGGTGGAGACGTCGTTCGTCTCTTTGCGTCCGACTCGTCGCCGAAGCAGGTTCGGCCTGTCCGAGCGGACGGTCAAGCATGCGGCCTAACGGATCCGATGTTACTCGATGCCGAACATTGCGGTGCTGTTTTAGTTCGTGGACACACAGGACGTCCCGTCAAGACGGTACACGCCGCGAGCTTGCGGCAGGACCCTGTAATGAAGTCGGCCAGCTTGATAGAACGGAACTGGTAACCGCGGCGGAGCCCGAACCCAAGCGCCGCCGTTCGACGTGGAAGCGGACAAAGCTTTTCTTCGGCCGATTGTTGTGTTGCGCTTGAAATTGGTACGTTATATACGCAGTTGTTAAATCTGACATCAATATTAGAAAATGAAGACAATTTTAAAACACACTCTCCTCCTCGTAAGAAATTACCATCATTAATGATAGATAGCGATGATGATGACGAAGACGATTATTCGGTAACTTAATTATTAAGTCCTACGATGAAACAACTTGAAGAGTATAAAAATTAATGAATACTTTTCAGTTAGTACAAAATAATTTATAATTAATAATTTATTTACACTCATAATATGTATTCTATACTTTTAATATGCTTTCAATAAACTAAATTATATAAAATGTAATTTGTTGTAACTATGTAAAAATTTAAATACGATATCGATAATATTAAAAATATATCGTTGGCCAACACTAGAGTCACCAAAGGAGGACACCAAAGTTTAGTTCTTGTCCTGCTTGTGATTGTCAGGTTTTTATTATATTCACAATTGGTGAGGTGTGTACGTATGTGTATAATTTCTAACTCAATATATATATATATATAATATAATGATATGAATATTGTACCTGATGATAACATAGAATATTTTTTTTTTAGTTATCACTTTTCGGCACTTAAATGTAAGAACACGGTCAAAAGTTTAATATATTCAACTATTTGGTATTGTTTGGTAACTGTGGTAGGTATAACTGTGATTATTTTACACGGCACGGTGTATATTTAAACACTTTATTGCATCAACAACAATTAATGCCGCAGCCTATTTTCCAAACATGTTAGAAACCCTTACACCGCACCGTAAACATATCGGCGCAAATATATAGTACTATATATAGCATACGTGTGCCTATATTACTATATTATAGCCACTTAACCTAATCAAAATTGGCTTCTCAAATATTAACTGACCACGGTTTTATTTAAAATTTTATTCTCCGTTATATTCATTATGTATAACTATAATATTTTATGAGGGGACGAAGTGGCTGAGCGATGTAAGGCGTCGTTTGAAACGCAGCCGGCGCCGGTTCGATTCCTTGGTCACGGGCGGCATTTTTCTTCGGGCAAGTCTCCGGAGAACAAGTGCCACCATCCCCCACCCGTAGGCAGATACCTATACGAGTGCCCAATCAAAAATTCTGCCAAACTCACGTGTAAAAACCCACCACTTCAAAACCCTACCACCACCACAATACAACCCTACTAACAGCTAAAGGCCATAGATATCGGGCTTAAGGATCAATAATAAAAAAAAATAAAATATATTTTATGATATACCTATTATTATTATTATGTGTTTATTTCAAAGAATAATGATCGAGCATGCAGCATGATGTGAGGGACAATGACGACTTATCTAACATTTTATTCTTTGCAGCTTACAGGTTTTAATTCTAAAAAAGTACTAATACTAAAAATACATAAAAAATATATTAATGAAGGTAAACAATTATTTATGTTATACAAATTATTATATATATATAACACACTGGCTGATAACGTGTACTTCGTTACCCGTTAAATATACCAAATTTATATGATTCAAACTTTGTTCAATTCGCTATTTAATATTCAGTGTATAGTGTTCAAAATTTATCTTAACTTTTCCGTTGCCCGGAATAATAATAATAATTCTGATTCGCAGCAGTATATTATCAGGTAGGCAATCTACCTGCGGTAGATCGCGGACCCCTTGATGTTTGTACGTAAGTGTATGATTTAACTCGAAAGTATCAAAGTTATACCAAGTTTGTTGTATGGTGGATTAATATAATCAGTTACTTAATACAAAATCCTAACCGTACTAATATCAAATTAATAAAAAAAAACCAAATTTAGTCATTTTTAAATTAGCCTGTCTTCTTCCCAGAGGTCTAATCTACACACAAACATTCATTTATTTATAAACAGGGTGATTCTTTTATCAAACAACACTCATCATTTGAAAAGTATTGAAAGTGTTGTTTGATAAAAGTGTATATATTGACAAAAAACAAAATACAAATCAACAAACATGCCCGATTAACCAATAGCAACCAATATAAATTATAATACACTGTTGCGCCACTGTTGTATTTTTTTCATCCAGATTTCCTACTTTTCCAGTTGATTTTCCTAAAATTTTCTTTCGTGTAAATCTTCTCCTGGCAATTACGAACATCAAAAAAATTTGATCCATTTCGGACCGGCCGTTCTCGATTAAAAAATAAAAATAAAACAATAATATTAATAATAAAAATCAACAAACATGCCCGATTAACCAATAGCAACCAATATACCATACACTATTATTATTTTAATCTGAAACTAAGTTTTTTATTATTTAATTAATATTTTTTCTGGACAGATGGCACCACTATTGTATTTTTTGACATTAAAATTTTCTACTTTTCCGGTGGATTTTAATAAAATTTTCTTTCCTTCGAATCTTCTCCAGGCAATTACGAACATCTTAAAAAAAATTTGAGCCAAATCAGTCCGGCCGTTCTCAAGTTTTAGTTAGACAAACGAACAGCAATTCATTTTTATATTTAAAATATACTAATCTTATATTATATTGTATTATACAGCTAAATTATAGGTCGTTGTTAACAATTATGAGTTTAATATTGTATTTAATATTTTGAGCTTTACCACATAATACCTACGTGCCATAATTCACAATACTACTGATTTTATAATATATATTTTGTAATTTATAATTGTGTATATAAAATCAATGATAAATACGTAGGTGACACATTTTAGTAACACGGGTCACCTACAACTTACAAGTTGAAATTTGGTAAATAACTCTTAAGTCTACACGAAGTCACGACATATACGTATACGGTATATATTGCAATATATGGGCAAGTTGGCCTCCGCGCGGATTGGTATACCTATATAAACATTAACTAATAATATTTTATAAGGATTATTATGCACTCATAAGACATCGCCAACAAAAGCGATGGTCCCTATCAATTAATATATCATTCGGAAAAAGGACAATGAAGCAGCGGTGACAGAAAAAAAAATTTATTTTAAAACATTTTTTAACAATTTCAGATCACTGTTACGCGGCCAAGTGTTCTGACTTATCTAGATAAATTTATCTAGATGAATATCTAGATAATTATTTGTTCATCTTTTCTCTTATCTAGATAAATAGTTACATGGTATCTAAACGTTCACCTTAGATAATTGTTTTACTAATCGAAATAAAATCATCTAGATACATTTTTTATTGATAAAAATCTCGAAATTGTGCAAACGCATTTTAAATATTTATACAGATTTTCAAACAAAGTTTATGGTTTATAAATAATGTAATTATATTTATTTATATCATTACTATTATTATGTTCCTATAGTGTCCAACTAAAATATACCTAAATTTAAAACCATTTAAAAAATAATAAAATTGTATCTTTTTTTTATCTAGATAAAAATGAGTTAAGTTATCTTTTATGTCTATCTAGATACATTTGAGTTGCATTATCTTTATCTTTATCTAGATAAAAAAAATACTTATCTAATCCGAACACTGTGCCAGGGCACGTGATGGTTCAACGACCGTCCTAAAGGGACCGTATGAAATAAAAAAAAAATATATGCACGAAGTACAATTACAGAAGATACCACTAATGTAGGGTGTAACAATAATGAGCTTTTAGCAAAGGCATAGCATCTTTTTAAATCGATATTCACAGCTGTGTTCAGTTGTATCAGATCACACCATGGCCTACTTATACTGCAGTATGCCAACTCGTATTTCCATTCAATTAAGTTAGGTACCCGTGACTCATGTAATTAATGATTACCCAAATAATACCAAAATATACCAAACTCTGAATATCCATTACATAAGTACTATCTGACATCTGTGAACAAATTTCCAATCATTATTTTTGATATGATGTTTGTGTTAGATATCGTTGATTAATATGTATATATGATTGATTTTATTGGTCTGATTATTTACCATCATTAAGATTGTGACTAATTGTGAATCAAGCGTTTGAGACGACTGCCATAGTCATAGTCATCACTCATCCTAATATTATGTACCAATTGATAAAGGCCTTAAATGAAGTACAGACTGCAGGTAGCTACACCAAAATGAATTGTACTGGTGTACGGAATTTAAAGCAAAAAATACGGTCGAAAAGGAGCATTCATCAAAAACCAAATTATGCAATATTCTGCAAGCGGAATAAAAATTAAGAGATTAACTATACGGGCTGTATCAAAAACAATTTTGCCATAAAAACTATGATGACAATTATGTATGTTTTATAAAAGAAACACATATTTAATTTAAGAATAATTTAGATTTTTCTTGTGCAAGACACAAATACATTTAACCCCAACTAACATTTTTTTTTTTTTGGTATCTTCTCTTAAGTTCTAAAAATGTGGTGAAGGGAAATATTTGTGTTTACAACTCGCAGTGTTAGGTTGACCTAACTTGATACCTGCAATTAGCATTTTGATAACGAAACCCGTGTCCTCTTGTCCTTATATTATTATAATATAATTGACCTGTACAATATTCGTCCGCAACTAGTATGCAATCCAAATACTCTGTTCCGATTACTTGACGAGTATTATCGAATTGCGAGTATTTGTCATGCACAAGAGTTGTAACACCCAAACTTTAAACTAATAACTGGCAACTTACTGGCTCTTACATACCTATAATAATACGCACTCGCGGATGACGATAAACTGGTTGATCGAGCGAATCGAACTGCACGATAGAAGTGGAGAAAAGGCCAGTAACCAGCACGTCTTACTCGGGTCTCAGACTGACCGACGACCCGGAAATTAAAGTGGTTACCCGGTCGCTGTTTTATAATATAGTATACCATAATATATTACAATGTTGACCACGGTCGAGGTAACCGTCGTTCAATTTTGGTTTACGTAACTTACGAGCTGAATAGATTACCAAACCGCCTA